ACTTGGTGGAAGAAGTAAGGCTAAAAGCAGGATTGCAACCCTGGACTTTCAGAGACCCAACTTTGACTTCTTCCAGGACCTGCTTGGGCGTATCTCATGGGCTAGGTTTCTACAAGGCAAGGGCGCATGTGAGAGCAAAACAGGGAGGCTTGCAAAAGAGATAAAAGACAATAAGATTTTTTTTTTTTTTAAGTATGTAAACAGTAAAAGGAAGACTAGGGATAATGTGGGTTCCTTGCTGAACGTGGGGGGTGTCCTGGTAAGGGGAGAAGGTGGAGATACTAAATGCTTTCTTTGCTTCAGTCTTTGCTTCAAGGACTCCCCATGGGACTCCGTGAGCCTAGAGGGAGGAGAAAGAGTCTGGGAAGTGGAGATCTCCCCCCTTGTTGACAAGAGAGTGGTTTGGGAGTGTCTGAATGGGCTCAATGCACACAAATCCATGGGTCCTGATGGGATACATCCACGCGTACTAAGGGAGTTGGCAGAGGTGATCGCCGAACCGCTCTCTACCATCTTTGAAAGGTCCTGGAGAACAGGAGAGGTGCCTGAAGACTGGAGGATAGCCAATGTCACTCTGGTCTTCAACAAGGGCAAGAAGGAGGATCCGGGTAACTACAGGCCAGTCAGTCTCACCTCTGTCCCTGGAAAGGTGTTGGAACAGTTTGTTCTGGATGCCATCTCCAAGCAATTGGAAGAGAAGAATGTTATGAGGAGTAGTCAGCATGGATTCACCAAGGGAAGTCATGCTCAACCAACCTTGGGTAGACTAGGGGAGAGCAGTGGATGTCATCTACCTTGACTTTAGCAAGGCTTTCGATACTGTCTTCCATGACATCCTATTAGCAAAGCTGAGAAAGTGTGGGATAGAGGAGTAGACAGTCAGGTGGGTTGGGAACTGGTTGACTGGCTGAGCTCAGAGGGTGGTGATTGGCAGCGCAGAGTCTGGCTGGAGGCCTGTGACTAGCGGTGTTCCCCAGAGGTCAGTGCTGGGTCCGGTCTTGTTCAACATCTTAATCGATGACCTCGATGAGGGAATAGTGTCTGCCCTCAGCAAGTATGCTGATGATACAAAGATGGGAGGAGTGGCTGACATGCCAGAAGGCTGTGCTGCCATTCAGCGAGACCTGGACAGGCTGGAGAGATGGGCAGGAAGAAACCAAATGAGGTTTAACAAGAGCAAGTGTAGAGTCCTGCACCTGGGAAAGAACAACCACATGTATCAGCATAGGCTGGGGGACGACCTGCTGGAGAGGAGCTCTGAGAAGGACCTGGTGGTCCTGGTGGACAACAGGTTGACCATGAGCCAGCAGTGTGCCCTGGTGGCCAAGAAGGCCAATGGGATCCTGGCGTGCATTAAAAGGAGCATGGCCAGCAGGTCGAGGGAGGTGATCCTCCCCCTCTACTCTGCCTTGGTCAGGCCTCACCTGGAGTACTGCGTCCAGTTCTGGGCTCCCCGGTACAAAAAGACAGGGATCTCCTGGAAAGAGTCCAGCGGAGGGCCACAAAGGTGATACGGGGCCTGGAGCATCTTTCCTATGAAGAAAGGCAGAAAGACCTGGGTCTGTTCAGCCTGGAGAGAAGAGGACTGAGAGGGGATCTCATGAATGTGTATAAATACCTGAGGTGTGGGAGACAGAGGGATTTGGCCAACCTCTTTTCAGTGGTTTGTGGGGGCAGGACAAGGAGTAATGGTCACAAGATAGAGCACAGGAAGTTCCGCACCAACATACAAAATAACTTCTTCGCAGTGAGGGTGATGGAGCATTGGAACAGGCTGCCCAGGGAGGTTGTGGAGTCTCCTTCTCTGGAGATATTCAAAGCCTGTCTGGACGCCTACCTGGGCACTCTGCTCTGAGGAACCTCCTTTGGCAAGGGGTTGGACCCGATGATCTTTTGAGGTCCCTTCCAACCCCTACAATTCTGTGATTCTGTGTGCATGTGTGTGTTTGTATATATACTTCATTTTCATTTTGTTAGACGCTGGTGATTTTTCACTCAAGGCAGTCAACTTCAGCTATCGGGACAGTATAGTAAATGCTTATTTTAAAGTAACTGTATGACATTGAAGTATATACTTGTGCTCCCATCTTTATTCCTTTCTGTGAGAAGGCAAGGAATAGGAGCAGTGAAATGATCATTGGACTGGATAAAGGCCACAGAGCTTTCTGTCACATAATCACAGAGAGATTAAGGTTGGAAGGGACTTCCTGAGGTCATCTGGTCCAATCCTAATGTGAAGATCAAGCCATGGCTTTGATGCTGCATAGACCTTTGCTAATAACAGGAGAGAAGCAAAGGAAAAATCATGGAGATTATCAGGACCGCTTAAGAAGCAAAGACTTGGAGGCAGTGAAAGTGTGTAATAACCACTTGGTACCTAAGTAGTACCATCCATAAAGGCAGCAGTGGTTTTAGCAAATGGGCGAATGGTCATCATAATACGCCTCCAGGCAGCTGGCAGCCTTTGGAAAATGGCTGCAAACACACTGAGAACTGAACTAATATAGAATTCAGATTGCGTTCCAAACCGAAGGGTAAGAGTTGAATAGGCATATAAGCAGAATAGGCTAATAATCCTGGAAAGAATTAGTGTGAAAAAGAATATACTGAGATTAATCTTACCAGGGTAGTGACATAGTGCCATGTGTCTCAGAATGCCAGAGTGCTCTGTGAACATCAATTAAACCAGACATATTACTGTGATATTATTACCATTCCACAGTGGGAGAACTGAGAGAAAAGGAAAATAAGCAACTTTCCAAGTTCACAAATAAGATGCAGAGCAGTATGCAAGTATACAGAGTCCTGAGTGTGGCCATCCACCAGATTCTCCATCTTTCTTTAGTTGAACAGGAAATCTTAGGCTTTAGGACTGCCAGTAGAGAATCTTTTAGGGTCAATTACCATAAAAAACAGTTACCCTAACACCAGTTAAGAAAACATTTGGTGCTTTTCATCTCTGAATCATTTTGCCAGTGATATATCAACATAAATTATCATCATTATCAAAGTGTTAAATCAAGATGGATCATGCGCAATTAAAATAAATACAGGCTTGAACAAATGGTTCAATGCATACAGTTACGTTAAATAGGGATGCAGTTTCTCATGGACATTGCAAAATTTAGCAGGCTCAATACTGAAGATTTACATTAGCTGCAGACAGATTTTTCTTTAAGTTCTGGCTCAGCCTGGAGGTGATAAAGAACATAAGGTTATTCAGCACTTCAAGAACAGCAGAATTAATGATCACTCTCTACAAAAACATCCAGGGAAACTCTGTAACTCCCAATTTGAGCATTGTGTGACAAGACAAAGTAGATGTGAGTCAGTTAATATGCTTAACAGCAGAAGCCAGTGAGGATATCCAGAAGGATATACTATGACAGTTTGGCAAGGCATCAATCAGCTGTACTCAGTAACTCAACATTTTGTTATCAAAAATACACAAGCTTAAGTCAAACAATGAATCTTCAGCTCAGTTTTGATTTCTGTCTGGAACTTATGTTTGTGAGAATCGGAAATCCACCAAAATTATAGACAGATGTTAAAAAGTTCAAGAAAGGTGCCTCAGGAAGGTGTTAGACAAAACAAATCCTCAGAAATGTGGCAATTCCTGAAAGAGATCATCAAGTCTTTATTTTTAAATCCAGAAAAGATGGAAATATCCCAGACATGTTAGCGATGAAGCCAGAGCATCTGCCACTGTACAGATGTAGTTGGAGAACAAAATAATAAAAAGGTAGTGAGAAACTGTCCAGTCAAACAGTAGCTAGTGAGGGAAAATGTGCATCTTAGCATTATGGTGGGCATGAAAGGAAGACCTCAGTACTGTCCAGGAGGGAAGAGTTCCTGCCATACAGCATTCTGCAGCGGGGGAGGGATTGGGCTGAGTATATAAAAGAAGTACAAAATAGCATGCTTGTCTACAGCATGGACTTCATTCAGAATGCTTCAAAGAAAGAAAATATGAAGGAATGAGGAAAAAATGCTTTATTATTTTACTTTCCTGTTGCTTTAGGCTTTAAAAGAACTTTTTACTGCCATATAGCAAGAGAAACATGTATATAATGCCCTATATGGGAAAAATTGAGAATATAGGTAGTTTCAAAGTAGTGAAAGAAATGTAACGGTTACCTCCTTTTCAGTAAGTGAATTGTTTAAAGTGCAAAATTACAGAAATTTAATTCAATGTTTAGTTGTTTTTTATTCCATCTGCTCTGCTTATTTAAAAATTAAAGGAAACCTCCACAGGATTAATTTATGTATTCACTTCTGTGGTGTATCCCTGGGGTGTAGTTTAGCATGTCTAGAGGGTGTGGGTTGTATTTTATTGCTGGAAGCCATGTGAGGACTGTGATGCTTTTAAATAATGCTTGATTATGGTCTGTTCTCCAGAGCAGAAAAGCTTGTCTTTATGACCTGTTAACACTAGCTTTGGATTAATTATATTTGCTTGCTTGTTTGTTAGTTTTGAGAAGGGTATTTTTGGGGGCGGAAGTTGGATAGGCAGTTTAATTTTAAACTGAATCATGCACTTTACTGATTATGCCTCCGTTTAATGATCTGGATACAAAAGGGATGCAGAGGTGTTAAAGAGTTTCTGCTGTTCGCTGGTGTTCAAAACTGGGGTTTGCAGGCAGGGAGCCTTGTCATTCCATATATATAGGTCCTTCCTATGTTCTGGTCCTCCACATCATCATATTGGTATATTTGTGCACACACATCCAACATACACAATAGTTAGGAGAACTAGATTTGGGTATCAGGTATGACTCTGTGTAGGCCAGATCTACAGCCCACTGAACTCAACTATAGATTAAAATAACAGCCTAAGTATACCAGAAGCTCTGAAAGAGTTTGCAGGAAAAATTCCAGCAGTTTGCCAAGGTGATATAACACTATTGAAACTACTGAGAAAACTTGCAGTGATTTGTCTGGGGCTAAAATGTGACATTTATTTATTTATTTATTTATTTATTTATTTATTTATTTAACAGAAATGTTGTCACTGTTGTTTGCTGGGAAAGACCACCCAAGTTCAAGGACAGAGTTGTGAATCCAACCTGAAGATAGGATACCAATGTGGAATTGTCTTCAGAGCTTGTTGTGTGAAAGGACAAGAAGGCACTGATGTGTCCATCAGTGATGATGCTCCTAAAAAGGAACCGGGTATTTTACCTTGCAAATTATAAAAGATTGAGAGAGGAAATGATATGGGGTACAAGGAGTGCTTGTACTTTAAACAGTTTCTGTTGCAATTCCTCTAACTTGAGACCTCCTTTGAGTAATTTAATGTACACGTATATTGATCTTTTATTTTATTTTATTTTATTTTATTTTATTTTATTTTATTTTATTTTATTTTATTTTTTGCTAGTGATAGCTGAAATGTATATCACAAGAGATTAAAAGAGCTAAATAGTGGTCACTCAGTTCCTTGTATCAGAACTTAATATGAGACAGTTATTTCAGTCATTAATGTTCCTTATCTTAGAAACTGAGTATAAGCTATTAATTTTATTTTTATTTGTTCTTTTAATTGGATTTCAAAGCCAGATGGCAGTTTCTAGCTATGCAGAATTCAAATGTTGCCTTTTGTGTGAGGCAAATGCCTACAAATTTGAAATGCTTAGTCTGTCTAGGAGAATTGAACATTTCTGGGCAACATTGTGTCTCTGCATTTACTTCAGTGTTGTCAGAAGAGAGGGAGATCTAGACAGCAGCAGCTCATGACACGCTTCTTCATACCGAGTCCACAGATCTGAAGAGAATGAGTGTGGACGTACTGACACTTACAGACCTGTTTTTTCTTTTTTCATCTTTCACTTAACAGACTGAACTGAAACTGCAGAAAAGTCATGCTGTAGGATGTTGCCTCCCTCCTTCATGGGCTGTTGAGCACTGAAAACATGCACTCTGGCTTGAAGATGACCAGTGGCAGATTTTAAAAACATCACCCTAATCAATCACTTAAACCCCACGACAAAAACTTGAGCTGGTGTGCTTAAGCCAGTGTGTTAGCAGATTTGTTTCAGGTCTCTGAAAATTGACCTATGTCACTGTACACCCTTATCAAGTAACCTGTAGAAATGGCTTGCTGATTTCTTTGTGTACCCCTGTCATAATAGGGGAATAGCCCTTGTCCATTTTCTCTGACTGAAATGTCTACAGCAGTAGATACTTTGCACCTAGACTGTGTTAATACCAAGAATTTGCAGACTTAAAAATGTCTGTGTGACACGAGAAATATATCAATACCCAAAAATCCAGAATTACAAGCACAATGTACAGTATTTCTCCACTTACCTCTATGGGCAAGTGGCATTCACAATGACCATTAATGCAAGATGTCAGCAAGTAGGTCAGGACAAAGTTCTTACCATTGAACTAAGAAACAACCATGTGGTTGGAGATGTGTCAGATAGCCCTATTAACAACAAAGATTACCTGTAGAAAGGTAGAGCAAAGAATACTTGAACAGCACCTTCCCTAGTCACGAAGAGGAGGTCAGTCTCCATTTTGTATGGCAGCTTCTTAGACTAGTACCTTGTGTTTGTATTGCACAGTAGCAAGACACACAAGGTATTCTGCTGTAGAGAGTAAGACAGACTTCATGTATAATGCTTTCTTGGTCACATAAAGAGGAGTCTTGGGTAACTGCATCCCAAGAGTCCTCTACAAAGTCAGACAAGACTTGGACAAACTGTTTTCAACAGCCTCTGCATGACCAAAATGTATCCTTATGGCCTGAGAGGTTCACTGCTCACAGATTTGCTTCCAGATCCATGACCAAGTATTTGCTTTTAAGTGACCATTGGTTGAAAGACATACAGATGAGTACTGCAATGGCACTAAGTTTCCTGCTCAATAACCAGAGTATTTTGAGATTGTGTTTTTACACATCTCACTACCAGCCCACAATTTCTGAAGTGTTCAAAGTGGTGGAGACTGGCAAAGTCCATTAGTTATTTCTCTGACGGATGAGTAGATTCAGTCAGTAGATGTATTCAGCTCTTTTCTGCCCTCCATATAGAGATAAAGGACTCTCATGACACACGTATGCAGCAGAAGTACTGCTGATCATGAAGCATATTTGAAAGAATGCTATAATTAGGTGCCTAAAAGTTGGGTGTGGAGTTTTTTGGAATGAAATCTAAATAAATAACTGAGGTTAATCTGATTTTCATTAAAACTGTGAGTACCCCAAGCTACTATAAAGTCAGTGGAAACTAAGCATGCCTCAACAACATGTCTTATGAAAATCAGGTTAAGCTCTGCTTAAAAGCCGAATGGTAAGAATCTGCATTTGAAAATCTCAGCCCATATGTAATCTATGATCACAGCATGATTTTCATATTGAATCAGTGAGTTGGAAAATGCCTCATGGGCATGTGCATCTGAATGTCAAATTTAAGCATGAAATAGCTGCAAAATATGTAAATAATGCTTTTTAATTTTGTCCTGTTGTATCCAAAACTCTGGCCTGAATCGCATCCCAAGTAGGCAGCCTTTTACTGTGAGAAGTGTTTCTCCTCTAATGTCTCTCTCTACTCTTTTTAGTTGAAATTTCAAAGGAGGAACTAGACCAAGAAGATCCTTATCTGCATGATGGCTGCAGAGGTAAGTCAGGTGACTAGTCCTTTTAGCCAGCTCTTCTGTGATTATCTCCAATAAAGGTTAACTAAGCTTAGATCTAGCGATTAGCCCAAACCTTTTGCCTTGGCTAGCTAAGGGTAAAAAGAACAGAATGAAGATGCTTTTTAAGAAATAGTAGGCCATTATGTGATGCTTCAGTTGTTCGTAAAGGAAGGCATTGTCTGCCATGGTGACCAGCTGAAGCTAACCCAGCTGAAGCTTAGACTATACATTTAACTTTTATTTGACTTCTAGTTGATAGCACCTCAGATGTGTTATTCACTGAACCCATGGAATACTCTGGATTCTTCAGAATCAATGGAGTCTCTATTAAATATGTGCATTCTTTTATTCTCCTCTTGGAATGATCAGAGTGATTGGATATGAAGTGGAACTTGTTTCCTTTTGTGATGCATCACCTGAAAGGAAGAAAAGCAGCTAGTGTCCTCATTAGTCAGACTGTTCTGCCTCCTGGGAAGAATGTGTTGTTGGGATATTGTTCTGCTAAATATTCTGATTTACTGCTTGTCATGTGTGATTTACATGTCTATAAACTTACCATAGCAGTGATTTATTATTTTCTACAGGCATTTCAGAACTAAGTAATGTATTTCGGCTAAAATCAATTTAGTGGACTTCTATTCCAGTTGCGAGATGATTTACTGTGATGCATGTTGTATTGCTGTTGTACTTTAGAGAGGTTTAAAACATGTACTAAGGTCATTAGCCAAACACTGGCTCTAACCAAAAACCAACATGGGCTCTAAAAAAAAAACAAAACTGTCTCTAACCTCTGTCTCCAGCTGCTAGTTACAAGAGATCAAATTTAAAAAAAAAAAAAAAAGTTACATATTTTCCTAGCATTATTTCTTTATATAATCATTTGTTGAATTTGTCATTTAATCATATGTCTTCAGGAGATGGATTGGTGTGACTAATTACAAATCAGAGTTTCAGTCTGCAATATATTTTCTGATAAACTTGGCAAATTAAAATTACGTGTGATTTTTCCAGTCTTCACCAGGTGAAGCTTAAATTTCCTATGCAGTGAAACTTGCAACACTTTGCTCCAGAGTACCTTCCTGGTATATGAGGAAATAAATTCTGTTCTTCCAGCACTTCCATGATAGGTTTTACTTTGGCTGACAGGAGATCACATTATTAGCAGAGGTTCAGAAAACAGTAACTGTCCATCTCAACCTCAAAGTTATTGTTCCTTGTAATGTCATTGCCTTTGCCAGTACTATGTCTGAAGACCAAAATTTCTGTTTTGTATTAATGGCTCTGTTCTCAGTAGAAACTGTGGTAATTAAAAAAAAAAAACGTTTTTCTTTAATTCACTTGAAAGTTTTGGTTATAATAGCTGCATTTGCCCACATTGATAGTGCTTATCTCAAGCCTTTTGTTTAATGCCTATCCAGACGTTCTTCTGAAAAACAGAAAAGGATAGAATCTGTTTGTACTAAGAATATCAATATTCTTAAAACAAATAGTTGTAAGTATCTAACCCTTTCTCTATTGTAGGAATATTAAAAGCTTCTATTATTAATTTATTTCTGAATGAGATCAGAAAAAATGTTTTCTTCATGATGAGCCAAATTTTGGGTAAATTTCTTAGTCCTCTTTTTCTGTCACCAGAATAACCCCAGCTCTCTTCCATGTTCTTTCTGATTCCTGTACACAGTTCACTAGATCTTTAGTATCCCTGTAGTATGGTTTAAGTCTTTTATGTTCTCTAAACCTGTTGTCACCTACAATACTGTCTTTTCCCTTTCATGTTTCCTGCCTGCTGAATAGGAAAGAGGACATGCCGTAGCTAATTCAGGAGTTATGTTCTAATATTTATAAGCTGAAAATAAAGCCAAATGCAGCTAATAATGAAAATGTTTCATTAACTTGTGGTAATGCCTCTTCTATTCCCCATTGTATAGTAGTAATCATACAATGTTATAACTTATCAGCAAAATCTGAGGAGGTTTCTGAGCTCCTAACATTTTCCCTTCACATTCTAACAATGATGGGTTTATGAGCAACTGTTTAATTTACTTCCTCCTTGTATTCATTTTTAGTGCTGAAAAAAAAAATAATAAATTGCAAATGCTTCTAGAGATTAGCCCTTTCCTTCTTCTAATACCTGTGTATTTAGTTATTTGTTTTTTCTAAATAAATCAGCAACCATCCTGCAAATTTTTGATTTGTTTCAGTTCCTGTGAAGAGCCTCCTAATTTTATAAGACTTCTTAAAATTTCCAATTAGGTGGTGGTCCCTGCTCTCAGCAGTGCAGAGACACCGGATCCAGTTATGTCTGCTCCTGCTTTGTTGGGTATCAACTTCAACCAGATGGTGTCAACTGTGAAGGTAAAAGAACTAAAACCTTTACCTCAATAATCAACATCCTTATTTCAAAAGAGCAAGAATAGGTTAAAATTTAAAAAAAAAAAAAAATTAAAAAAATCCAGTCAGAAGAGATCAGAATATGTTTATATCAGCAATGAAAGGAGGTGAAATCTTAAAAAGAAGACATAGTAGATTTTTAGCTTTTCCTTCCGAGCAGAGCCAAAATAAAATACCTGTGTTCTATTTTAGTAGTAGATGATAACTGAGTAGTAGATAATAATTGATAAGACAGATGAAATAGAGTAAGATTCTTCAGCTTGTTGAGGACACAACTGACAAAAAGGTTGAAAGTTGTGTGGATCATTAGTGGCCTGAGAATAGTCAAGAGGGAAGAATTGTTCATTTTCCCCCAGAACAAAAAATACACGGGCATCAGATGAAGTGGGCTGGGATGGAGCTCATCACACTTGACTTCAGACGTAATGTGGACATCTGCTTCGAGCTAGTCAGCCAAGGCATTTTTTTTTTTTTTTTTTTTCTTCTCTGTTTAAGAGAAACAAGCACTTCCAGGGCATAGTTCATCTCACATATTTTGAGTAGTTATTCTAGGATGAAAAGTGTTACTCATCAGAAGTGCCTTTTTATCTCAGACTGAAAAGGGGGTCTAGGTAAGTAGCTGTGATATAAACTTCAGAATATAAAACAGATACTGATGATTGGTCAGATTAACACTAGCTTAGTGTGAAATATAAAAAGAAAAAACTTATATTTGACATGTGTGGATGCCAAATACTCTTCTGGGTTCAAGACAAAGGTGAAAAATTCACAAATGTCAGTAGCTAGAAAGTAGAAAGTTGCAGCCTGTGGCCTGAGGAGTCCTTAAGTTATACGTGGGTGAGATCCAAAGCAAGAGAAACATTTCTGAAAGTTTGCTGCATTCAATAAGTCACTATAGTTATATAATCATCTGCTACTAGACCCAGTCAGGTGATTGTTGGTCCTTTGCTCGCACTTGGTACAACTTCCTTCTGTTCTTAAGTACAGTGAATCAGTAGTTAGTCTTGTTAGTCAAAACATCTAACACTCTAAGAACAGAGAGGAGTAGCCACGTTTTGGGAGTGGGAGGACAAACCTATACCATTCTTTGTATCCTGATGCCCAAAATAATCAGTGGTTGGAGGTGTGCCCACAAACAGCCTTTGATCTCTGCTCTTGCCAGTAGTTTTGTGTTTTTTATTTACTCTTTTTTGTTCTTTCTTTCTCCATTCCCTATCCCCCCCTCCCTTTACATATTCCAGATATTAATGAGTGTATCACTGGTACACACAGCTGTGGGATTGGACAAACTTGTGTCAATACATTAGGATCCTTTCGCTGTCAGCGGGACACGAGCTGTGGAACTGGTTATGAACTAACTGATGACAGTCGTTGTAAAGGTATGTCCTGGACAGAGAAACTGAAATCTTCCAGATTTACATTTTAGAAAAGAAAAACAAAACAGAAAAACAAAACAAACAAACAAAAAAGCAAAAAAAAACAACAAACAAACAAACAAAAACAAAACACAAAAAACAGCAGCAACAACAACAAAACACACTACCAAAACAAACAAACATTAAACCATCATCATGTCTTGCTCTTTTTATGTTTTCAGAAATATGTGTGTAAGCCATAGTTATACAGGGGCACACAGACAGCTTTAGTTCTTCTGGGACAGTAGTTTTCCTCCTGTCACCTTGCAAATACCAAATACAGGCTGCCTGTGGACTATGGTAAGACTTCCAGAAGAAAGAACTATGTTTATTATACATTGGCAAGTTGTGCTATGTGACAAGAGCTGATCTGCAGGCTGAAGCAGATGATTTTGAAGAACCCACACTCACACTGTATGCATTTTTGAGGTGTTTACTTCTGGCTAGTTCTAGTCTTGTTTTAGGAACTGGTTGCTCTTAATGAGTGGCGTGCCAAAGTCCTGCTCCTGGCACATATCTGATGGTTTATTTTCATCTTAAAAAATCAAGTTTGCACATCTCTAAGTGCAAAGTGGTAAGTGAAATGACCAAGGCAGTTCAATTTTGAAAATGCTGAGGTAGATGCATAGATGCATCCTGGAAAAAAAAAAAAAAAAAAAAAAAAAAAAAAAGAAGTAAGCCTTTGTCTTCAGTAGGATTAAATTCATTGCAATGAAGTTCACTTCTTAATCACAACATTCTTGAGGATATAAAAGTGAAAAAAGGTTAATACCAGTGCTGCCGAATACCTGTGTTTGAACACAAGGGTAATAGTCTTTTTTTTTTTTTTAACTAAATAAATTAATGATTTCATGTTGCATCTAGCTCAGAGTATGCTGTTACATGTATCCATAGCTGCACCTGACATGCTACCTTTGCAAAGATAAATTGGCAGCAAACACCATATGATGTAGAATTGGTTTCCACTACCAAAAGGTCTGTTCCCCCAGACCCTAGAATTGTTTAAAAACAGTCTGTAATTTCATTCAATTGAGTAAGTTAACTCAGACAAAATTCTGGGTAGGGTTTTACTTCACAGAGTGATTAATGATGAATAATAGATTGGAGGGGGAAAAAAAAAAGAAAAGAAAAAGCTGATAAATAATCTACAGCACAAAACCCCTAGAACATAGAGATGATGGTTTTTGAAAGTATTGTGGTCCAACTTTGCTGCCTTCGAAGTAAAATTCATGCTGATTTGAATGACATCAATTTTAGGCCCACAAATAGCTTACCAGCAAGTATCAACAATACTTTTCCGGTGGAAAAATGGGAATATAGTCATTAAATTATGAATGCCATTAGCTTTAGAAATTTCTTATCTGGATAAGATATGGTAGTGAAGTTAATTATTAACATTATGTCAATAATGATGAAAATAGAAAATTAATAATCTTCATGTATGATTTTTAAATGCCTTGCAAAATGACATGGAAAATATTTGTCTCATTACTGAGTTGTGCAGCATATAAAACCCTGCTGATTTAAAACAATTCTTTGTAACAATGTAAAACCCATACTAAACTTAAAGTAGGCCCCACAATCATTTTCTGAATCTTACAACCGCTAGGGATAAGCAGTTGTCTCTACTCTTGTTTCCATAGCATAGATGGGAAAGCCAAGGTATGCTATAGCTAGGAAGTTTCTGCATTTTAGAAGTTTCAGAAGATTTCTTCCCATTGTGAGGTAGTGAACATCAAATGTTAGTCACTAGCCACTGTGGACTAGGTTATGTTCATGAATGAAACCTTGTTAGCCCTTGTCTGCTTTGTCTGAATCATAATTATTCACAAATATTTATTTTCTGTAATGCAGTAGAATGGAATATTAAAGTGCACGTAAATCATATTTGTATGCATTTTAAAGCAGAATAATGCAAAGAGGCCTTTATATAGGTGAGGTTAAGTTTAAAATTAAAAATGCAGTTGGACACAATTAAGTCCTACTGACTTCAAAGATAAGCCCATGTATTAACACAGTGCTGAATCAAGACTGAACACTGCTGAACATGGTGCTTCAGATGCTTTATAGTCATTTTGAACCATTTAGTTATGAGAACTAAATGTCTAATAGCATAATAAACACATACATGCCTATATATGTTTTTACTGAGATTCTGTTTGAAGCAACAGTACAGGTTGATCCTGGATCACTGCATTGATATGCATGAAAATATGCTGAGGATTAATCTGTCTGACATTTTAAACTGTCTTATGTTTTAAATGTGATGAAAAAGTTTGTCAAACTCCTGCTAACATTTTTTTTTTTGTGATGTACCAGATATTGACGAATGTGAGACTGGTACTCATAACTGCCCCCCCGATTTTATCTGTCAGAATACTCCAGGATCTTTCCGTTGCCGACCCAAGTTACAGTGCATGAATGGGTTTATACAAGATGCGCTAGGCAACTGTATTGGTAAGACATACTCTTATCTCAGTGAATACTTAGTGATGCTTAGGAGTTAATCTGTAGTTTCACTGGGTGAGTTCTGAGCTTCTCAAGTCATTCTTCATGTATGTATGTATTGCTCTGCTGTCTTTTTTCTGCTTTTTTAAAGACAGGGTTGGTCACACAGGTAAGATTTACAGATGAAAGACCTCTAAATAAGACTTAAATACTAGCTACCTATTTTTAATGAGATTTGGGCACTTAGCTGCATTTTAACATTTTCCTTAAGTCTTCAGAGCTTTTATCTGAAACAAAATCTGGTAAAAGTGGTATGTTTTAATCTTCCTCTATTCAAAAAGTTTTAGTTAAATCTTAGTATAAAAAACTGTAAATTATGATTTCCTCTGTAACATACTTCATTGATATTAGTACGAAGAGGGTCTAAAGATATGTAGGTCTTTCTAGACCTATCACCTTTAGCTGCTGTGGTTTATGAAGAATATTACTATGTATGAGAATGAGGGACTAATTATCATACACTGTGGAGAGGAGTTTTATTTTAAAGACTGCGTAGGACGTGTTGTGCTAATGTCTTGTTTCCAAGACTCCTGTCAAGTTATTCTGAGGCTCCTAAAAAACAGAGTTAAAACCTTTCAGTAAATATGTTAGAATTACTGGTTTCCAGCATACTCTAAATGGAATTGTCTAATGTGACCTACAAATCTGTCAGTTATTCCCTTGGGTAGTGTTTTCAAGTCTTAACTTAACTTTAATATCCTCACAGCGGCATGGTGTGTTTTGGGCTTGTGGAACTGGCTGAGCAGCTGCAGCTGCCAATTCTAGCTCATTGTCAGCCCCACATTCTCCTGACCATATTGTACTCTGTAGTGCCAAAATCTGATCCTGGAAACACTGAGGCTGAAAATAAAATTGTAAAAATTTTGCAAACAAGATGAAGGGATCTGGTTGTTGTGTACAATAAACCCTTTGAAGACACTTACATGCCATAGCCAACACTAGATCCACAGCTGTAGAAGTTACAATGTCTGCACTGACAGTAAATCCGCAGCAATTTGCAGCGATAATGGTTATGTCCCCTAATATGAACTTGCTCAAAATAATTAGCAAAACAAATTCACAAGCTGATTTAACAAACTGTGAATAAAATGCTGCCTTATATGGTGTCGAGGGGGAAATAGTATGAAAGCTTTACTGTCTTTTCAACAAAGCAATTCTTTGCTTTTTATTGTAGCAACTGGAAAGCAGTAGCTCTTTGACAGCAGTACCACTGTGAAAAGTAATGGTCATGCACTAGTGAAATAAGGAGGAAAACTTGAGGCAGGGAAGAAGTAGGCACGTGAAACTGGATATTGCTGAAGGTTTTGAGATGCAGGTCCATACATTCACAAGCAGTGACTGTTCCTACAGACTGTCAGGTCTTAGATATATTAACATTTCCAGTTGTCGCAGGGTGTTTTGGTAGTGGCAAAAAGTTTCAGAGTTAGGAATAAGTGGCACCTATAGCCACTTATTCCTAACTCTGAAACTCCTTCTCTCCGAGCTAATAGCACATTGCTAACCCTGGATAACAGTGAGTTTCTTACCTTCTTGATTAGATAAACTGTACCATATCATACTCTCATACTCTGATATAGCTTAGTCTCATCTCATTACATATTCTGAGGTTTTACTTTTAATTTTTTATTCTTCTGTGTGTGTATGATGTCCAGTTTGTAAAAACAAAAAAACCATATATTTCATGGATGGTAGAGGGATGCATAGTGAATACACACATACGCATGCACACAAAAAGAGCTGTTCAAGTTCTTAAATGTTTACATGAGATGAGGTAAGGTATTCATGGTGAATACCTGTGAGAAGTAGTTTTTCTCTGTAAAAATGCAGACAACTGCTACCTATACGACTTACTACATCTTACTTGCTGTAATCCTCACACATAGACTGTAACGTAACTGGTTGAGCTGGTAAACTGAATTCTTCATCATCTCTTTGTAAATCTCAGGGGGGGATGACTTGTAAAGGCCTTTAAACAAAGACAAATTCTACAGCCAATTTCCTAAGCTTTTGAATGGGATCTGGGCCTTTTGTACCTCTCCTAGTCTTCACCCCAGAGGCGTAATATTGTTGAAGCTAAATGACACAAATGTTTGTGGTCCTGTGAGCAGAGCTTTTCAAACCACGAGGGATGTAAGAAAAGCATCTTACCTGAAACATCATTAGACAGCAGATTGTTACATTGACTTCCTGTACTCTTGCAGATATCAATGAATGCCTGAGTACCAACATGCCATGTCCAGCTGGGCAGATATGCATTAACACTGATGGCTCATACACCTGCCAGCGAATCTCACCCAGCTGTGGCCGAGGGTATCATCTTAATGAAGATGGAACAAGATGTGTAGGTAAGTAACAGTTCTGAAGGAAAAAAAAAATGTTTTAAGAAAATGAACCACGTGTGTTTACTGGTTTCTTGGGCTCTGCCTAATTTTCTCATGTTCCCAGAATCAGTTCTTGATCCTGTTCTTTCATTCATGGCAGTCACAGAAAGTGAAGAGTAACAAAGATCCTCTCTGTCCTTCAAATTACTCGTAAAACACTAAGAAAAACAGAAGTGACAATTGCCTCCCCTGAAAACGGCATTGTCTGTGACTATACCAGTATACTGGAACAATGCTGTGTAATCTAAAATCTCCCCAATAAATAGTTATAACGCAAGAATCACCTGCCACATAATGTCTCTCAGAAGACGTTCAAATAAGGTTGAAAGGCAGATATGCCTTGGGCTGGCATTTAACTAAGGTATCTGTTGCAAAGAGAGGTATTTTGCCTGCATTTTTAATTACTGTAAACATTTATCAAAGCACAACTGACTGTGGTCTTCCAACATCTTATTTTAGGTGAAGAAATAGGTTCCATAAATATTGAATATCCACAATAAAATGGTTTTTCACCTAATTTCATCCAAAGATTATCTGATTTCTCGATTTCCTGTTTTTTTTTTTTTCTTCCCAAGTCCCATCAAGATTTACAGCACATGTATGAGAGATACCTCATTCTGTAAGAATTTTACATTTAGAATTTTGCAATTAGTACTCTGATCTTGTTGAAGCTAGGTGCTAGATCCAAGTCTCACTTTCTGTTTCAAAAGTTCACAATTACCACTAAAGAAAGCCCATAAAACACTTGTAAGGCAGCAAGAATTTATACTTTATTTTACAGATAGAAGGGACACACAAATGTGCATCTGAACTAAGAGAGCGTGTTGCTCTTCTCTCGACTTGCATCCTCATAAGTGTACTTACATTTCCTTTTTTATAGATGTGGATGAATGCTTATCTTCCAATCAGCCATGTGGCGAAGGACATGTTTGTATAAATGCCCCAGGCAATTATCGCTGTGAGTGCAAATCTGGCTATTCTTTTGATGTCATCAGTAGAACTTGTGTTGGTAAGTTGTACCTATCAACTTACGTAAATCCAACCATGACATTTTAAAAAATGAGCCTGCGTAAAGAACATTATGGCTTTCTGCATAACCTTTCATCTGAATGTAAAATTGACTACTGTATTATTTGTATAAATCTAATACCATACTAAAGACATGCTGATACTTCAAAGGAAGCTGAATTAGTATTGTCAACATGTTATCTGTTATCCTACTAAAAGGTAAGATTATGAGAGTGCATGTAATTGTTTTCTGTGACTTTTTTTTTGTAGGCACCTACAGCAAAACATTCCTTTGGAAGATCAAAGTGACTTTCTTCTTTATATTGTCTAATTCAGTTATACACAAGGGTACTTCTTAAATGAGCATTTTGGGTAAATCCTTCCCTCTCTAATTTTAAATCTGGAAAACAAAAATAAAACTCAAAACCGTGGTCCTGTCCAGAGTACTGCTTCAAGGAAGCCAGCCAATATATAGATCTCTGTATGTTTATCATTGCAGATATCAATGAATGCAGACGTTATCCAGGCCGTCTTTGTGCTCACAAGTGTGAGAATACTCCTGGTTCCTACTACTGCACTTGTACCATGGGATTCAAACTTTCAACTGATGGCAGGTCATGTGAAGGTATGGCTATATGCGTAAGGTATATAGTATGAGATGTAGCTTGTCACCGTTTAGCTATTCCTGTTTGATTTTAGTTCATAAGACTGCTCTGAATTGGTACAAGAAATCAACCCAATGTTGTCCCTTTGATAGCATGAATGCTGCTATGAATAATCAAGACTGCTGTAGTCCACAGTTCCAATATTTTGTCCTTTGGCTGGATCACAGAGAGGTGTATGTGTCTGTATTTACTGCATTTTCAAGTGATGTGACTAGATCAGATTCAAGAGTTTCACAACCAGCTTTGCTGATATCCAAATATAAAGATGCAGGTGTGGTCCTAATGACTCCCTCCAAGTCACACACCTTGAAGGACAGTGGGAAATAATAGCACACAGTAACCTATACTACCAGACCCTCTTGAGAATAATACACCCAAAGCCCATTATTTCCTGTTTACTCAGTAATATGTAAACCATCCTTTTTTAATTATTAAAGAAAAAAAAATAATCAAACTTTTACCTCAGTCCTGTAACAGGAGTGACAAATACAGCAAGAAATTGAGGTTTCAGATGTATAATTTTGCATTTCAGATTTAAATGAGTGTGAGAGCAGCCCCTGTAGTCAAGAGTGTGCCAATGTGTATGGCTCCTATCAGTGTTACTGCCGCCGTGGCTTTCAACTTAGTGACATAGATGGGATTTCATGTGAAGGTAAGAACTGTCTTTGCAGATAAAGGATTCAAGCATTTTCAGTTCACACCATGACATACATAAATAGTTTAATAGACTCTTAATAGATGCATTTTAACATTTGATTCTGTTTGTTATTTTCCTGTGAAACTATGAAACTGTACTTAATAAAAGTCTCCCACCCATGCCTTTGTCTAGAAATAACTCTGCTTGATTGTATGGTGTCAGCTTTGCTGTTTACACAGAACTGTAACTTCACATACTTTCCTAACTGGTCAGAAATGTGCCTTCAAAATTGATATATTTTTTTTTTTTTTTACTGAGCAACTAGCACGATTTCTTGTCTTCAGCAAGTGAACATACAAACGTGTTTGTGTGTTTCATATGTAATATACAATATTATTACATGGTATTTTATATATCCTTCTTTTGTGGCTGGTTATGAATTAATGTGTATGTAGGTTTTGATCAAGTAGTAGTAGAATGTGGGTGTGACCCAGTGGACAAGATCTTGAAATTCAGCTTAGATATCTTGGACTTAATATGCAGTAAGAGCTTGGGCAAAACATCACCATTTCCTTTTTATTAAAACAGGAACAATACTATTCCTCTCTGTCCCATTAGTAAAGTACTACAATAAGATGTCACTGTATTTACAGTGTTATTACACATTTATAAGACAAAAGCAGACTGTCTCTTAAGCCCTTCGATTGCTTTTAATTTTCTTCACACCTCATTTATTCCTGACAACCTTCATTAGATAGTTGTGGCCCTAATCAGCAATTGTTTTTGTTTTCCACTAGTTAGAATCACAAAATAGTGTTTCAACCTTGCAGCATGAACACCATATATGTTCACTTAGTAAAATGCCATGCAGACATAGTAAATTAGTGGTGTTTTCCTCTTGCAGATATTGATGAATGTGCTTTACCTACTGGAGGTCATATCTGTTCCTTTCGATGTATTAATATTCCTGGGAGCTTTCAGTGTACTTGTCCCTCCACCGGTTACAGGTTGGCACCCAATGCACGAAACTGCCAAGGTACATTCAAAGGCTTCAGGGAGATGTAACAGGATTGTGGGCTTCTAAAGAGTTCTAGAAAGGTTTTGTATTTATAGTCCTGCAGCACTAAAAGTAAAACAGTCAGTAACAGCTTGAAATCTGGAGGGACCAATTTTTTTATAATAAATAACGGGATCCAATAGAAGTTTCTTTTACAGCCTATAGAATGAAGTTATGTTTTATACTGCTCTTAAAGAATTTGAGCAAACTCGATGAAGATTCCCACTGTTAAATGATATGAATTAGTTTATCTGTCAAAAGGAAATATCATAAAGCTGTAGACATTTCAGCAAATATTTAAATCTTGCCCACTTAGTGGCACTGCTGTTCTTCCTTTTCTTGTTCTTGTGTGTTGGTTGGGTTATTTTTCTTCCTTTTGCTCTCCTGCTTTCCTTAATCCTGTAATAATGTTTAATTGCACCCCATATTCTCTAGTACCTAATGTGATATTTTCATCATACGGCACCTGCAAGTAGAGGAAAAGCATGTGTTTAACCCACTCACCTTTTTTCATTTGGCAGATATTGATGAGTGTGTTGCAGAAACCCACAACTGCTCTTTCAATGAGACCTGCTTTAATATCCAAGGGGGCTTTCGCTGTCTGTCTTTGGAATGTCCAGAAAATTACCGCAAGTCTGGAGATACGTAAGTACTTTCTTTTCAAGGTACATTGTGTTTTTTTTGGTGGCATATTCTCCTCACACTGCTGACTGAACAGATTCTGGCAAATACATACTTTACTGGTTAGGCCTACCCCAAGTTTTGCACACATAGGTCTGGTCCTTTTCTCATGGTCCTATCTCAGTCTAAAAAAAAAAGGTATTCCCTTAAGAAGATGCCATGTGTCAATAGTTTGCATTATAATGTTCTCTAGAAGCATATGTTGATGTTCTCTCTCTGGCTACCTTGCAACCAGCCTGTTAGGAGGATTACATTCAGCTTCAAAATTCTGACTTTTCTGTCACACTCAGCCTTTGCTACCTATTATACTCCAGTGGTAGAATTACCTCTTATGTTGGCTCTTAACCTAGGTCAGAGAAAGCTATTCTGGTCTTGAAAATACAAGACACAAATATGGGAGGAGGGGTAGCTGGTAGCTCATTTACACCCATCCTGTGGTGCTGGCAATGCTAGCTAGAAGCTGTTTCAAAATTTTGGTGGCATGGCTGATGCAGATGGCCACTTTTCCACCTGCCCTATGGCTTTAAGGCCACCCTGTACTCCTGTACTCTCTGTATATCTCATACCCAGGTAAGTGTATGCATCAGGTCGAGAGGAAAGCTGATAAATGACACTGGTTACCAGCTTACTATTTTGCTCTTCACAATCAGTGTTCATATACCCACTATCTCTGTACCTTCTCTGTAGAATGAAGCTGGTGCTTCCAGCTTCCTCAGAGGGACTTTGTGAGGGTTGATTAGTTTCAATTTAAACCTTAAGCTGTAAAATGACAAGTAAGTGGTATAGCAAATGCATTTGATCAGAATGCTGCAGAGGGATTTCATAGTATAAAAACAAATATTTATAAAATACGCTTTTGAGATGCATCAATAGTAAGTAAATTTTAAGTTATGTTGGTCACATCAGTAAACAAGAAGTGCCTCATGATGCAGAAGTTTATTTTTAATATCATGTGTTATTTGTATCTATCTTAATTCAAAAACAACAACAACAAAACAAACAACAACAACAAAAAAAGCACACCTCATTTGCAATGGACCACAAAGCAGAATTAGCAGATTTTTATTCTTATGGACATCCTAGAGTTGAAAAAATTCATTTTATAAAATAGCTGTAAACACATATTCCATTTCATCTTCTTTCTTTTCTATATTTTTATGGATGTATTGAAAGTAATGGCTATTTGAGATGTTAGGGATTTTGTTTGGAAGTAATAGAATGTCTGAATTGTTTTTCTGTCTGGGTTGTTGCAGCTCTGTAATGGCTTACTCTGCCTAACTCAGATTCATAGGGAGAGATTCTTCTGATGTGCTAGGGCTATAATTAGGCTGTGAATCAGAAACAAATCCTGTAGCTGCCCAGTAAAGTTATAATTATTTTAAGTCTTTGAGTGATTATCTTGGATTTATTAGGCTTTCACCTCTTGACAGCTTCAGACAAAGTTACTAAATATATTGTCAAAAATGAACTTGCATAAACCAAAGAGAATACAAGTTAATTATCTGTATTGCAAAATGTCCAAATTAGTTCAATGGGCAGATAGGTACTCTCCTACTTAGCCAGTTATTATTATACCAGCATGCCAATATCAGGGTGTGTGTCTTGGGTTACCTTGTTCCCAGTAGGGAACACTTTCTTAAGATTGTTCTTTAGTGCCCTTTCTAATCCAAATTAATTTAAATATTCTTGTATAATTTTTGGTATATATAAGCCATCATAACTGATAGCTAGCATATCTTTGTTAGCCCTTGCATGATAATGACATTAAATCACTTTTTCAACTAAACTTGTGCCAGGATTCTAAAATTAAAATATCTGGCTACTTATATCATCCTATCTATTAGAAATACTGGTTTCTTCTCTTTTTTATTCAAAACACATTCCAGTTTCACCAGCTTGGCCTATCATAAGAAAAACAACACGTTTTCTATGCCCATCAAGTTAACATGCCATAGAACTTTTGACCCAATACTCCAAATTTTCTTTGGAATAGCTATAATATAATAAGACTTGTATTGGTAATACAAGTTTGTTCATTATTTTTCCTTAGAATTCTTATGTATGGGCAACCACTCTCAGTGATCCAGAAACTTATTTACCTAATAACTTTAAAGCAGAGATTTTTGCATGGTGGTTGTAGCAGAGGTGATTGTCATTAGATGAAGTAATTGCAGGATTGTCAGATGCTATAGGCTGAAAGCTCAGAACAGCTTACAGTTATTCTCAGCTTCATGAGTCCTGTGTAAGCATTCTCAACGACCAGCAAAGTGCCTGGCATGGTCTGGTCCTTAATGTAATAATTTTATTGATGGTCTAAACTATTTTGCTTAAATTGTGTATATATATATATACATATATATATATATTTTTCTCATAAGCCTATGGGCTTGGTATTTTTCCAAGGATAATTATGATTTACAGCTACTCACAATAGGACTGCACTGCCCTTGCCAAACACTTTTTGTTATCAAATTGGATAACAAATAAAATCTCTTTTTGTGAAACTGAAGTCAAACATTTTTAATATTTAAGCCAAGAAAAGTAGTAGAGAAGATAAAGAGCAGTTATGGCGGTGTGTCAGAAATGTATGCTGCATTGAGCTAGATTTGGAAATACTTTTGTATTTTAGACATGCCTGCATGCTGTTAATGTTGCCTGTTGCTTCTCATTATTAGAACCTGTTTTTAACTGCTTAGAATTTTGCCAAAACATAACCAGTGTCTGAAATTGTACATGCCAGGTGTCTAATTCAGGCTCAAGTTTTGGTAAATTTCTGCCACTGCTGTGTTCACTCATTTTCAAGAACAAGGGTAGGAAGGAATACATTGGTTTGTGCGTTTAAGAAATTTCATTGATTAATTAATTTATTTTTTCATTGAAGAGTTTGCTGTCAGATTTTGGAGCAGAAATCTGAAATTTGTTAGGGGATTACTTTTGCACTTTTTGTCATCCTTACCAAAAACGTGTGAAACTTTTAAAGTTAAAAATTTTTGCAAAATTGCAGCTAGCTCTTTTTCATAAACCTTATAAAAGAGGACCTGGATGGGTAATTACCCATGTGTGTCAAGGGAGTGTCAGGACTTCCTGGAGCATTTCTGAAAGGTATTTAACTTCTGCTTAAAGTCCTTCAGTGATAAGGATTTCATAGCCTCTGTGGCAATCTGTGTTTGATTATCCTTCTCAGTGCAATTTAATTCCTCTTGTCAGTAGAGATGTCTTCCTATTTTACCAGCAAAAAATCCTCTTCTGATTTAGCAGACATGAGCCTCTTAAAGGAGTCTAAATTGTGCATGCACCAACTTCACAGACTGTCTGAGCACATTCCCACAAATGGCCAGGAAAGAAGCCTGATCTCTGTAATGTTAGCTACTACCAGTCCTGGACCTGGCATTGCAGACCCTGACAGTCCCAGAGCCTCTTACTTTTGTGCTTTTAAAGATAACCCAGACTTCATGAAAGGTCTTTCTAGTGTAGAGAGAAGAACCAACTCTGTAAGAAGGAAAGGCATCCTTAGGGCGGAGACTGAACGTAGGGAGAGAGATCTGAAGGTGCGAGCAAGTGAGGAAAGTGATCTGGGAGATGCTTGAGGGGGTGGAAAGTAAAATTGTATAAAAAAATCAGAGAGAAAGATGAAATAAACTGTGGAAATCAGTGCAGGATATGATGGGGGAAAGGGTCAGGACCTTTCTGGTAAAGGGTGATTAATGCCAGGTTTGGATGAAGACCATCAGAGCAAGGAATAGTTTGGGGTAGCTGCACAGATACTAAGGAAACAAGTATGTTTTGGGACCAGGACTGTGAGACTGAAATTGAGAGGAACAAGTGTCAGCCAGGAGAACATGGAGCAGGAAGAGGATTGGCACATTATTGAAGATCCTGATGCCAAAAGTTTGATTGAGCAGGAAGGGCAGTAAGCAAGGAAGGAGCCCAGCTGGGAAAAATGAATGAATCAAGGATCACAGAATCATATAACGGTTATGGTTGGAAGGGACCTCAGGAGGTCATGTGGTCCATACATCCCTGCCAGGGCATAGGATAGCACATAAATGCTCAATGCTGAGGGCAAAATGGAGATGGGTCTGTGTCTTCTATGGCTTAAAGCTCTTTGAAAGTTTTTGGCTCCAGATAGGAGGAACATGCAGAGTATATATCCACACTATCAAGGGAATGCCTTTGTAGTGGAGTATATTGTAGGTGGTGCAGAAAATCGTTCCAGCTCTGGAAATCTGCAGGATTGAATTTCAGAAATGTGTAGTGTACAGTTTGGTAATCATACTTGGTTTGTCATTCAGCAAGTTGAGATGGTTTCCCTGTATAAAGTAAATTACAAAACCATAGATCCTGGAAAAAAAAAAAAAAAAAAAAAAAAAAGTTCTTTTCCCTTCAATGTATAAGAAAGTGTTGTAAACCATTCAACTTCTTTTGGCAAAATTGAATGAATTGCCTCTGTACCATGTGAAAACCAGGCACAGAAATTAACAGGAGGGAAGAATATTTTCTGTTAAATGTATTCATTCTCTAAGATAATATATTTTTTTGTTTTAATAGTTTAATTTTCCTTTATGAGTAATCAGTATTTGGTATGTAAAATTCAATCTATTAGTGATTTCTTGAAGCCAGTATTTCAGCCAAGTAAAAAACAAAACAAAACTTAAAACTGAATAGTTGAGCTAAATAGCAGTAAGCTAAAATAATCAGGAATTAATTCAGGAATAAGCATTCAAAAGCATTATACACTTATTTTTCTAACCCATGCTTTTCATTGCAGAGATCTGCTGAGATGCGTCTAAAGCCCCCTCACTGCCAAGCGGTGTGCATTTCTCTGGCAGCATCACTCCAGCCCTCCCCTTCTCCCACAGGTTCCCCTGTGCTTGTGGCCACAACGACGCATTGTGGTGGCCAGGCACAGTGGCTGCATGGCCACTTCATCCATCATGAGACGCCACAGAGCTGCAGTGGCACCC